TACATATATTTTTAATTTCGTGGCCACCACTCATTGCCACATTTTGCTGTTTTGTATTTGCTGCGCAGCAATTGTCCACATGGCGGAGGCCGACCACTTGAAAGTAGATCGTAATGGCGCGGGTTCGTGTGCTCTGGGGCAGTCGGTTTTGCATCGATTTTTCTAGTGTTTCAAGGTAAGATTTTGCAGGAAACTTGGTGTAAATGTGAAGAGTAAGTATTTTGTAAGATGGCATGACACTAATCAGATTGAATTAACTACAATGAAAACGCTTGGTTATGATGGCCTCTCCGACCCAATAAACAAAGATGTTTAATTTTAAATAATAATTTAACCACAATTAGAAAATCCGTTAACAAAATAATAAAAATTGACATTTTCAAACCATGGTACTGCTTACATTTTTGGCCCACATGTTTCAATCCGCCATATTTCCGCCCACTCCAGCCGTTGATTGGCTGATCCAATTTTTGTTTGGCTCCTCGTCGTAGTTTCCCCAACTGAAGAGTTTCAGCAAATTTCAACAGCAAATACAACAAATGATAATGGAAAAAGAAATTCACTCTCCCAATGACAAAAAAACAAGGATTTAACAAAATGATGCCTTACCTGTGGCAGCCTCAAAAGCCTCCCAGAAGTCTGTATGAGTTCCGCTCCCAGGATCCTTAGTTCAGTCTCTAGTGAAGGCTCCAACCCATCTAAGCCAGACGGGGTCGGTGTCAGCTTTTCTTCACTCAAAAGACAATTTTCCAGAGTGAGGACAACCTCTCCATAATTTCTTTGAGAAGCACCCATTGCGTCACCCCTCACCGACGCCATTACAGTTTCTCTGAAACAGAAAGAACGTTTGTGTATTAGTGATGATACATAACTATATACACTGTGACATAACTTTTATTTCCTGTTTTTAAATATTTCTCTTAAAAAGATGAAACAGACAAAAAATACCAAAATGATAACAATTAAAATATTCAATTACAGAAAAGCAAGAAAAACAAATAACATTGCCTTATTTGAAAACAGGGAACTAGTTTATCGGCACTAGATACTAAGATGCTGCAGCTAAATTTTCCATTCTACGCAACGTGATCGAAATCAAATAAAGATTCAAATAAATTTGTGTTTAGACGGGCATAACGCTGATATACCTGTGTGTCTCTGTTTCAGATGTGTGCCCAGCATTCAATACATTAATACATGATTGAAATGTGCAACTTGCCTATCTATGCTGGGCACACATCATGAAACACTAGAAAAATCGATGCAAAACCGACTCCCTCAGAGCACAGCGCGGGTTCGTGTGCTCTGAGGGAGTCGGTTTTGCATCGATTTTTCTAGTGTTTCATGATGTGTGCCCAGCATAGATAGGCAAGTTGCACATTTCAATCATGTATTAATGTATTGAATGCTGGGCACACACATCTGAAACAGAGACACACAGGTATATCAGCGTTATGCCCGTCTAGATAGACGGGCATAACGCTGATATACCTGTGTGTCTCTGTTTCAGATGTGTGCCCAGCATTCAATACATTAATACATGATTGAAATGTGCAACTTGCCTATCTAGTGTTCATAAAAGGTATAGAGAAAAAATCAAATAAGCCAGTGTCTCAATGCAAAACATAGCAAATTTGGAAGGGAAGTGCAGCGCCAGCCGGTGCGAGCCCGGATCGGATGTGTACTGAGGATTTTATCGATTTCCCCTACGCTCGACATCCGGAAAAGGAGGAAATAGGTATTCGGAATTACTCTGGTACCTAATTATTTATCATTGCAGAGACTATCGATACACTCAGTCACATTTCTATATTGCTTTTGTATCACAGATGCCGGCTTTTACACCGAATGATCCTGGTGAGGATCCCGGAAAATTATCATATTGACATGGTGACTGGCGTAGGTCCGTGTCCGTCCGTCGACATCGCCATCGACGTGTCGACGTCGTTTCGACATCGAGACAACATTGTGTCGATATTGTGTCGACATCGAATCGACATTGTGACGACATCGAATCGACATTGTGACGACATTGATACGACGTCGAGATAATGTATCGAGGCCCAGTAAACATGCCGACGTCGGCCCGATGTCGGCCGACGTCGGGGTGACGTCGGCAACTCGGCATCGACATGTCGGCCCGACGTCGGTCCAACCTCGGCACGACGTTGGCTGGATGTCGGATATGCCCGCATGTACCGACGTCCAGCCGAGGTCCAGCCGACGTCGGGCCGACGTCGGGGCGACGTCGGACCGACATCGGCCGCTGTTTTGACCGTTAACATAATATAAAATACATGTTTCATGTTTCATAAAGAGCCCTTCTGTATTCAAAATATCCTCAGGAAACTCAAATCTTCCTCCGCGCCGCAACCCCCTGATCCGGACTGGACGGGAAACTTTATCCCATTTGGGATTACCCGTAAGCCGAGCTTGCCCGTAGCCGGGTGTCGGAGTGCTTGGGGCTGCTCGGCCTATCCCGTCAGGCTCAGCCCCGGCAACTCACCAGGGCCGGGCCCAGATAATATAGAAAGGCCAGTCGGCAAGTGTCACTTTGCCAAAGTGCCACTTATCAAAGGGACACTTTGGGAAACGTTGATGCAGGTGTGTAAGAGTGGCTATATGAATCCATTGTGGGGTCGCCCTTTCCAATAAGTGTCACGTAACAGCAATGGGACCAGGGACTCTATATGAACTGGACCCAGGGTAATCGCCAAGAAGACCAATGTCTCCATCCTATCATCCTTCCGGCTCTGAAATGGTCTTGTCAGACCGAAAGGGCATAAGACAACAAAACAAACTAAACTCGCTATCTGGCTGGGTGGTGTAGTGGTGAGCGCACTAGCCTCGCGTTCAAATGACACAGAGTTCGAATCCCATCGCCGGGTGATGCTTTTGGCGCGTTGTCCCAGTAAACATGCCGACGTCGGCGACTGGGGGGGGGGGGGGGCTCGAATCCCGCCGCCGGTTGATATTTTTGGCGCGTTGTTCCAATAAACATGCCGACGTCGGCCCCGTCGGTCCAACGACAAACGATCTCGTCAACCTCGGCAAACGACCTCGGCCCGACGTCGGCTGGACGTCGGAACATGCGGGCATATCCGACGTCCAGCCGATGTCGGGCCGAGGTTGAACCGACGCTGGGCCGACGTCGGGCCGAGCCTCGGCCCGACGTAGGGCCGACGTCGGCATGTTTACTGGGGGGGGGGGGTGTCATGACTGTCATCTGGTCGGCAACTGTTGTGTCGTCCAGTGGGTCAAAGTGATTGAGTTCCAAATTTTTGGAACACCATTGATTCTGAGGATTCTTTTTGACAATTACCTACGTGTCTTGGCGCAATGTTTAGTCCACCCAGCCGGTCGTCAAGCATCCCAGTAAACATGACGACGTCGGCCCGACGTCGGGCCGAGGCTCGGCCCGACGTCGGCCAAACGTCGGTCCAACCTCGGCCCGACATCGGCTGGACGTCGGATATGCCCGCATGTTCCGACGTCCAGCCGAAGTCCAGCCGACGTCGAGCCGACGTCGGGCCGAGATCGTTTGCCGAGGTTGACGAGATCGTTTGTCGTTGGACCGACGGGGCCGACGTCGGCATGTTTATTGGGACAACGGGCCAAAAGTATCAACCGGCGGCGGGATTCGAGCCCCCCAGTCGCCGACGTCGGCATGTTTACTGGGACAACACGCCAAAAGCATCACCCGGCGATGGGATTCGAACCCCGTGTCATTCGAACGCGAGGTTAGTGCGCTAACCACTACACCACGCAGCCAGCTAGCGAATTCGGTTTGTTTTGTTGGGTTATGCCCTTTCGGTCTGACAAGACCATTTCAGAGCCGGAAGGATCATAGGATGGAGACATTGGTCTTCTTGGCGATTACCCTGGGTCCAGTTCATATAGAGTCCCTGGTCCCATTGCTGTTACGTGACACTTATTGGAAAGGGCGACCCCACAATGGATTCATATAGCCACTCTTACACACCTGCACCAACGTTTCCCAAAGTGTCCCTTTGATAAGTGGCACTTTGGCAAAGTGACACTTGCCGACTGGCCTTTCTATATGAACTGGGCCCGGCCCTGGTGAGTTGCCGGGGCTGAGCCTGACCAAAGGATAGGCCGAGCAGCCCCCAAGCACTCACCGCTCCCGACTACGGGCGAGCTCGGCTTACGGGCAATCCCAAATGGGATAAAGTTTCCCGTCCAGTCCGGATCAGGGGGTTGCGGCGTGGAGGAAGATTTGAGTTTCCTGAGGATGAATACAGAAGCTCTTTATGAAGCATGAAACATGTATTTTATATTATTTTAACGGTCAAAACAGCGGCCGATGTCGGTCCGACGTCGCCCCGACGTCGGCCCGACGTCGGCTGGACCTCAGCAATTGATCTCGGTCCGACGTCGGCCCGACGTCGGCTGGGCCTCGGCTGGACATCGGAACATGCGGGCATATCCGACATCCAGCCGACGTCGTACCGAGGTTGGACCGACGTCGGGCCGACGTCGGCATGCCGATGCCGAGTTGCCGACGTCACCCCGACGTCGGCCGACGTCGGGCCGACGTCGGCATGTTTACTGGGCGAGCAAGGTGACCCAAATGACGATTGACCTGAAGGAAGGAAGTTGGGGGCGAGGAACACGCACGTGCCATCCGTTTTTTAGTTGGGCGCTTCCATCTAGGATATTTTTGCAGAGACTTTTTGATTTGTGAAAATGACCAAAAAGCTGCTGAATCTCTGGAATCCTAGCGGTATGCCAGTCGTTGCGTTGGCGTTTCGGGCGTGCATTTTGCGCGTTTTGCGGCGTTTGCGTTTTGCGGCGGGCGGGTGTTTTTCACAATTCAAAGTCCAAACCTTCGGGCCACAATGCTCGAAAAGCGCTGCCCTCGAGCACGATTTATTGAAGGATATGGCCCTGGGGGTATCTGTCATTTCTAACGGGGATAAATAGACTTGGTGACATACAGTATTTTGTCTGTGCTGCGCAGGTATTGATATTTTTATATCATCTATTCAATTTACCAATAAAGGGTGTCAGGATAGGGTAGATAAATGGATTAAGTGCATTGCATTGGTCTATTTGGTTCATTGACATTTGAAAGCAATAATTCTGAACACAAGGCATGTGTGCGCGCCTTTAGTGAAGTTTGAGGTTTCGGTGTTGTATTGTCCAGTATTGTCAGTATTTGTCAGCATTCCGGTATTCCTTTGTCAGTATTTGCAAGTAATCTTGAGTGTATTTGCACTGTGCGTAGTTTATAGAAACAGCAGTGCTTGGCATTCGACATTTTTTGTTAGTGATTATTGCTTTCCATTTCGAGCTTCATTAGAAGCTAACACCGGTCATGTTCAGCCATCGGCTTTTAGTGAGTAAAAGTAGCCAAGGGGCTACAGAAATAGCATGCAGTTATCTATTGAGTGCTACATGCTCAAAAAATGTAAGTATGGCTCTGTACTACTGACTACATATAATTATTGGTAAAAGTTGACTGGTGCCCATCTGAGTCAATATCATGAACTGCTGACAGCCTATCTACTATCAGCGATTGCTTTGACGTGGAAGAGTTTGTGTTGATGCTAAAAAATATTATGCACATTTTAATGAGTGCATACAATTGACACCAGTATCTTATCATGCTCACATCAATCGTACGTACCTCCCTGCAAGCGATTGGTGCAATGCAATTGCAATAATGATTTGATGCACATTTTGATGTTTTTGCATGATATTTCCTGTATGAAAAGAGTCCAATTCTGCCTTAAGTCTGACTTGACCACCTCAACTTTATCCCTAGGAACCATTTGCATTGGACCATTCTGGATTTCTCTTTTCATCCTGGATTTCAACATACCTTTGCAGTCTTACTCCAAATATGTCTCGTTGTCCTGTAGCTCAGTTGATGTAGTGTTTTATTCCCACTGGAAAATGTGCTGAGTCTGAGAAATATTTCTTGTGAGTTTTATTCAGTTACCAAAAAAGGATATTTGTATGAAACCCTAATCCTTTGTTAAAAATGGGTGTAATAACAAATGAAATGTTACCACACAGGCAATTAGAAGCTATGGAGCAAATCAGACATGCATCTTATCAGAAACCAAGCACCTAGGCCCTGGTAAGTACCTACTAGTTGATAGTTCCCATCTGCATGTGTTTGCCACACAGCTGCAGGGTGATCCATGTATATTACCCAATTATTATCTATCAGAGCATATTAGCTGAAACCATGAGAAGGAATAAAAGCATGTTGATTGGAGAGCCAAAAACAAGATGGGAAAGGAGTCAGTCATTGAGCTGCTGAAGATGAGGCTGGTAACAACTTTTTGCAATTAGCATAGCCAAAAATTTGTTTGAAGGAACTGCTCGTCCGCGAGTGTGGATGGGGATCAGGGAACTTATTCTTGTCCGACCTGCCCGACAAAGTAGCTATAGTTTGCTTTTTCAGAACCGGTTTGACTCCGTACGTTTTTTTTTTAACTTGGCACGCGTTTTAGAAATGAAAAGGGCAAAAAATCAACCCCAAAAATCGAACGTCGACTAAGTTGCATGTGAATTATTCCCGATATATTTAATACGTGCGTTTTGGAACTAAATATTAGAACAATGATGATTTAATGCTATCGAACTTGCATTGCGATGACAATGTATAACTACCAGCCTACCATGGACAGAACCGCTCAGAGCCGCTTGCTCGATTCTGTTCTCGGTAACATTGAAAAACGAAGTTTTCCTAAAATTCATTGACACCGTGTCATCGTACGAAAAATTGGGTGCCAGCTGCGACGAGTGATCACCATGACCGTAGTACCTATGCTCATTTTTTGAAGACCAGTCCATGTATCCAGTCCATGTATTTACCGAGCAAAAGTTGAAGTTATTATTTTTTTTAGCGGTGAGAAATTCTTGGCGAGACGCTGAAGTTGTGAAAACTTACGTGAGAGCTTAGATAATGAACTTGGGCCCAATCTTACCAATGCCGTGAATAGGCGAAATGCCGTGAATGGAGCCCATTCACGGCAACGGCATATTACCAATGCCGTGGATAGCTATTCACGGCATCTGCATTCACGGCATTGGTAAGATTGGGCCTGGAGTCAAACCGGGTTTGAAAAAATGAACTATAGTCATCGCAGCTAACATGGGCTGTGGTCTGGGCGGCAGGTTCGGAATGCCCACCCCGCCGGCCGGGCGTGCTCCGACTCTACTCAATGAAGATGTGCCCATTCGCACAGAGGACGCGACTGGTGCTCTCCGCTAAAAACATTCCGTGAGTGTCACGTGAAAGTTTTCCATGCTCCGTATGCATGCACAACTATTTAGTGAAAATAAACTGTAAAATTGAGTAAAGAACCAACTAGGAGCATGGATTGAATCAAAACATTGACATTTTCGGGTCTGGCGTCGGAGCCTTGAAGCTTTTGGCGACTCCAACTCTGACTCTGGTAAGAACTGAAGGCTCCGACCTGGTCCGACTTCACAGGCATTATCAGAAAGGTATCCCCATTTTTCCCCGATTCCAAAATCTCGTCGGATCTGTATCGATCTCAGGGAGTGCTCGATCGGAGGTTGGGGGGGGGGGAGGGCAAGCTGCCCCTTCCCCCGTCCCGTGGCGACGCTAATGTCCGTATGGCATGGAACACAAATGAATGTTGTTGACTGTACTCCAATTTGATCCCAACCAAGTCTGATTAAATCGGCCGAATATTTTGCTATTGATCCGGGTCCTGGAATGGGATTGCCGTCATGCCGTGGTCATCGGACACTCTAAACGTTTCCTTCACTTTTCCTCTAGACATGCTCTGTAGTGACCGCCCCGTCCCCTCACCGGTTCATGGCCCTCTCCTCTCCCTGGCGCTGCGGCAGACACGAGGTGGTCAATGTGAACCTGAAGACGAAGCCCGCCTGGTACCTGTCGCTCTACGAGCCGGGCCTGGTGCCGGCGCTGGAGCAGGACGGCCTCTTCGTGCCCGAGAGCCTGGTGACCTCGGAGCTGCTCGAGGAGCTGCACCCGACGCCGGCGCTGCTGCCGGCAGAGCCCTGGCGCCGCGCCGCCGACCGCTTCTTCATTCACTCGTTTGGCACGGTTAGCAGCTTGTCTGGAAGAGAGATGTTGTTAGAGACCGACCACTGTTGCGTCAGTTAGCAGCAGCTCGTCTAGGAGAGCGGTGTTGGGAAGGACCGACCGCTGCTGCCCGCCGAGTCGAACTCTGTTGATGTCTGCTAAATTTGTCGTAAATTAAGGACAAAAATAACGCGAGCGTGAGTGATATTGTCTAATGATTCATGTTGTCACGGTAGGTATCTGGGATTAATTACACTTCTACGTATCCAAAATAGTTATTGTTGTCTTGAGACTGTATTCCTGAACTCACAGGGAACTTAGCTCTTATGCTTTTTTCAGGTGATCGGTACATTGTACCAGATGTACTTCCATTTAGATGAGCCGAAGAAAATCGAAGAATTGCATGAAAAGTTTCAGCGCAATATACAGGTAGGTAATAACGCCGATCATCGCTTACCTAGAAGATGCATAGGTTGCCGTTACACATTACACATGGCTTGCCGTATTTGTCCTGATCCTGGCAAGTGGCAATATCTCCTGCCATCTGTCTGTGCGTCACGTCTCGGCTGTGTTCCGTCCCGTTGTTCGACGTCACCCCTCAGCTGCCTGCCTCTGATGTGTGACACCGTCTCCCGCCCGTGCGCCGCAGCCGCTGGCGGCCGAGCTGGCGCGGCGCGGCACGCCGTTCTTCTTCGGCGACCGTCCGGGCATGCTGGACCTGATGGTCTGGCCGTGGATGGAGCGGCTGGCGGCGTTCACCGAGGTTTGCCGCAGCCGGCCGCTGCTGCCGGCCGACGGCGACCGCGCCGTCCGGGCTCTGGTGAGTGCGGGTCACACCAGGGGCTCGGGGTCACACCAGGGGCTCGGGGTCACACTAGGGGACTCGGGGTCATACCAAGGGACTCGGGTACGGGGTCACACCAGGGCCACGGGATCGTGCCGGGGCACCGTGTGCCGAGCACCTCGGTCCCTAAGGTACGGAACACTAGTGACGTGCATAGTGAAAACCACATTACTCAGCACAGTCAAATACCTGTCGGTAGACTGACCTCACAAGGTTATTTCCGTATTTCACCTTTAGCAGTAATGAAGATGCGTACGCTTTTGCCGTTTTCCAGAACGACCAGGGGCCCACTTTGTTCGCCAACTGATATTCATGTAGCGCCTACCGTTTAGAGTGACTCAACACCCCTCCTGCACCCTCCCCTCTTCCGATCCTTCACGCTAACACCCTGTGTGTTTCCAGCGTGACTGGGCCTCACTGATGGAGCGCGATGAGCACGTGAGCCGGTGTGTCACTCCGCTGGAGGACCACGTCAACTACCTGGTCACCCACAAGGTGGGCATCGTGGCCGCGCAGAAGCGGAACGCGCTCAAGAGCTCTGTGGAGAGTGACGACTAACCGACTGGGGCCGCTCTGTGACGGCGTGGGGTGGGATGACTGGTCTGTTAGCGCGTGACGCGTTCGGAACGACGGTGCTCAATAACACGTGCAATGCTCTTAGTTGTGTCCTAGTAAGCCGCACAGCTGTAAGTGGGAATCATTATATCCGAGTAGGTATATTATGAGTTGAGAATGTAGGAAATGTAGGGGGTTGATACCTGATATGTTTGTAACCTGCTGGACGCTGGTACGTGTGATGGAATGATCTGGTCGATTGTATTCTCTTTTCATGGTTGGTGGTACGTTATCGCCGTGGGAGCCGCCGTCTGTGATATTCGACGTTTGTCGTATGATGTTATGACGGTAAATAAGCTCCAGCTAGTTAATTCTGGTATGGTTATATGAAGTCGTACCTGGTTATGTGGTATCACCCGGGCTCAATACTGGATCATGCACCTGACCCTGAAAGGGGCACCAGCCATTCAGCCTTTATCGAAGACCCGGTTAGGCTGGGCGGTTGGGGGTTTAGCTGCACTGAGACGTTACATGGGATTTGGACCAGAAAATACGATGGATGAAATAAGAGCGTTAGTTGACGGTTTCTTATGCCTACACCGTGCATAGTGCATATATAATATTGTAATAACGCCAGAGGAAAATACAGGCTGTGACGCTCCCCAGCGTTGATCCTACGCAATTTTACTTCCGCGTGTTGTGCGGTGCAGCATGCCTGCAGGCGTGCGATACCAACGCCATCTATGACTATGAATCTAGGAGAGTGTAATGCCTTGTTTTGAGACGCACGCGATGCAGCACTGGAAATGTGAAGTCAAAAATCATTTCTAGAGTCCTGCGCATTAGCGTCGCCACGGGGAGGCAAGCGGGGCAACTTGCCCCCCCAACCTCTGACCGGGCACCCCCTGACATCGATACAGATCCGATGAGATTTTGGAGTCGGGAAAAAATGGGGGTACCTTTCTGAGAATGCCTGTGAGGCCTGACTCGGTTTGAGCGTGCAGTTCAAACCAGAGTCTGACTCGCAGTCGCCAAAATCTTCAAGACTCCGAGTCCAGACTCGGAAATGTTAATGCTGTGATTCATTACATGTTCCTAGTTCGTTCTTTATTACATTTTACAGCTGATTTTCACAAGTTTTGGAGTGCTAACACAATTTTTGTTCAAAGCGTGAAACGAAATCTTCGGGGCCTTTCTCAACTCGTCAAATGTCTGCGACAGGCTCAAGTACCTACCGTACAAGTGTCGCAGGGCTCATGAGCTTGCTTTAAACAAAGGCTCCTAAGGAGCTCCAGTGAGCCCTAAAGAAGCTTTCAGAGGGCCCAAACCGGCCTCTGAAAGTCCCACTGGTGTTCATGTTCTCGTTCATGTTCATGTTCTGAGGGCCCATACAGGGATCTTTGAGCCTTCGAACATTTCTGAGAACCTTAACTGGCCTCTGATAGTTCAGCCAAATTTTTGAGGCGACAGACTTTGCCAACCCCAAGCCGGCATCTGAGGGGTCACAGCCCACGTGTCCCTCTGAGGTCCGCAACACATGTTTATTATGTCCCTACGTAGGGTCCTTAGGGATTCGACACAGACCCCGAGGGTTCACACTGCTATCCGAGGGCTCCAGGCTCACCCTGGGCCTAGTCTCTTACCGCCCGCCGCCCACACTGCTTCTGAGGGCCCCACCTTGGGCTCGGAAAGCCCTAAAGCACCACGTACACGTAAATATTTGAGGTGACCCACGTCGATCTCCGGGATCCTAAGCAGGCTTCTGAGGGTCAGTACTGACCCTGAGTGGCCTGAAATGGCCTGGAAGTCACAAACCTATCTCTACGGGATCCCTTGCCGCTATGCCGTGCGTTACTTTTGGTTCCGTTTAACAGTTTTTGTTCGCGTTTGCAGCGCTTCCCTTCACACGAAAAACGAGAAACTTTTGTTCACACTCGAGTGAACAAAACACTTCATCTCACTGAAGCAAAGATGAATTACTTCCGAATTCCGATTCACACTTCCGACATTCACTCTCCGCCGAATGCCCAACTTAGCTACGATCGGCGGCTGGGATAAGTCCTATGCATTTCACGTAAAACCTCTGCATGCATGCGTGAATGGAGGTTCTAGCAGGGTGATCCGATTAAATGGAGCGTTTTTCACCTCTTAATGGGCAATGATCATGAGCGTCGAGCATCTGCACAGGGGCCCTCTGCAGTGCGTCGGCAATCGCAGCTACTATAATTCTACCAGTCGTTTTGTTATGAAATTTCAAAATTTCGAATTTTTCTGTAAAAAATTACATGTCATAGCTAGAAGGAAACCTTTGTCACCATCGGATTCCTCGCACCATTGCGCGTCGAATGATATGTAAAACGAGTAAGTAAAGACTGGGGAAAGGCAAGTTTTGACACAAAAGTTGATTTTGCCCCCCCCCCCCCCCAACCGACAATCTCTGGCGACGCCTATGGTCCTGCGGTCATTTTTTACCTCTCGTGGGTCGGAGGTGGGGGTGATTTAGCATCGCATGCCCACCATAATAAATATTAGGAGTAGTCCCCGAACATTTCGAGATAGAAGTGCGAAATTTGCAGTGCCTTTTCCCCATCAATTTGACATATTGTGGGAGAAATGGGCTTACCCACTGATGCCGTCACAGGGTCGATTTTGCTGAACGCTTTCACGACGAATTTCAACGTTAAGAAGGAATAGATAAGATCGAGTGCCGCACTGCTATACCGATAATTATTATTTTTAGGTAGTCTTGTTCATGTCTTTGCTCATGAACATAGCAGTCTATGCTCTTTGTAGTCTTTGCTGATGTTATATTAACGAAATGTCGAAATGAAACCACTGGAACACTTGACCAGAACATAGCATGACAGAACATCACATGTAAAATGCAGCCAACACTACTTACTGCGCCGAGCCGGGGCGTCCGAACCTCTTCCTGAGTTTTTTTTCAGATATCTTGAAAAATGACGCCTATTTATGCATTTCTTCTGCATATGTGATAATTTCCAACCCAGGTCGCTCAGTCTGTTCATTAGCCACCAGGTCACAGGTCACGTCAAGTGACCATCAGAAAACAGAGTTCCGCGGATCATCACTAAGGCAAAAGGAATGTCGATATTGACGAAATGTTACCCCTGAATGAGTTCTGGGCCTCGTTTCGTAAAGCGAGTTCGTAACTGACGCCGTTTTTTGGGCTTGTATTGCAAGTGCATGTGAAGCAACGAAGATAGTTTGAATCGTTGAATTTATTTATCTTGCAAGCAAGAACAGAAGGGAGAAGGGGAAATACATTTATCGCTTCACATGCGATTGCAATACCAACAAGCCCAAAAAACGGCGTACGTTACGACTCGCTTTATGAAACGAGGCCCAGGTCCCGGAGTAAATGACCGGAGTATTTTCTTCGTATTTTTACGCTCTTTCGAACGTTGGCTACGACGTGGCCCAAGAGCCGAGTTAGGCCAAGGGTGTTTGTTACTTCTTCTCAGAATGAGTGGAAAATGTAGGAGCCCCAGCGTGGCGAGGTTAAAATTAAAATATTACATTTAATGTAACTAGCCACAAAAACGTCTAACGTGGCGTAGGTGTGATATCGGCAGGATATTACTCAGCCTCAACCTATGTCCATTTTTCGCCCGGTCATGGTTGCGTCCCACGGAGGAGGAAAGCGGCGTTGTGTATATCTGCAGTGACTGTACAAACGGCGGCAGCTTTGAAACACAGCGCCGTATCTGGCGCAGCTTCGAGGGCCGGTTCGAGCTCTGACGCCCACTATCTAACTCCCCCCCCCTCGGCCATCTACGGGCCCCCAAGCAGCAGCGTTTGTTTTCAGAGGTCACTGTTTACTGAGTGTTGAGATCCGGAGGCGGACGGCCCGGCCGACAGCCCGATAGGACATGAACGACCGTCCCCGCCGGCTGGCCACCGCCTACGCCATCCGAGAACGCACTGAACTGCGGCCTCACCGGTCACCCCCTGAACACCGTCTCCCTCTGCCCGCACCACATTTCATTCACTCCCCGCGACCCGCCCGCGCTCCGGCTAGTATACTCGGACATAGATCTGCAGACAGCGACTCGCAGCCTGTTAACGAGTCCGACCGCCCGACAATCGTCCACCGACTGCCAACCCATAACACGATTCACACGGTCGTAACTGCCGGCCGGTGCCATGCACGGCGTCCACTGGCGGCAGGTCGGGTCATCGGGGCCAGGACAGCCCCAGCACACGGCGCTTCGGCACGCAACGGGCACGCGCGAGCGAGGATCAGCGAGACAGCGGCGGGAATGCAGCATGGGAGCACCGAGGGGAAGCATGAAAACGGCCGTATCTCAGATCAGTAGAAACAGACGGAACATTACATAAAAGAATACTGTAAAATAATATGAATGGATCATGCACTGGACCACCTCATGATTAGCGTAAAAAATATGCCATAATGTCAACACAACCTCACTTTTTCTCTACATTTACTTAGTATGTTGTAGTTTATTGTCTAACCTTCCAAATACATACCATCGGCTTGCTGCATCGGCCATTTATTGAGACCACATAAGCCTCACTAATTATAAGTTTCCAAAGTTGTGATAATTGCTTACGGCTTACTAAACGGCACCCAGTCGGTCGGCGTCTGCGGCGATCATGCTGAGGCAAATATAACGAAGTCATGATACAACGAACAAGAGTCGTGCAATAGCTTACCACCTCAGGTCATTCCCCGTCCCATGGGACTAAAGGACTCAGTGCACTGAATTCACGCACCTACCATTCAAGCTACTCAGGTCCCTATTCACTGAATGACAAATTAGTTAAATAAAACAACTGATACCAATACCATGCTCTGATTGTGCGTGATCCGTATTTCCCCGCGAGCGAGCTGCATGCAATCGGGGTCGGATGTCTTCTGAGTGTTCAGTGTACCTTCTTCCTTCTGGTTCTGTATAGTGGGCTAAAACTAAAAGAGCTTAGCTATTTTGGGTTCTACTGAAAGCTGTCGATACTGTATAGAAGAAATGTCCATCACGAGTCGCTTTGTTTATAACACCAAGTCAGAAGCGTAAATAAACGTTCATTGCATGGGAGTACGATCTCTGGGAAATATCGCTCATCTATCAAAGCGTAGTTTCTGTTTTCTGGCCGCAGCGCTAAGTGAGAAGTCACTACCACAAACCCAACGCTCCTGTCAAATGTCTCCCAAAATGAGTTCTGTCATTCCTATCCTGATCTCCCTTCAATATTCATACAAGATTATGCAGTGCCCAGCCGTGCCCCCGTCTGGCCAATTGGCCATCAACCCATGCCCGGTCCGTTAGCCGTCCTGTCTTTCCTCCTCTCCTGCCGGATCTATCGGCGTTCCCTGCCGCTGGGGGTCGGGAGGGGCGCTCGGTCCACTTGGAGTGCTCGCGCGCGTCCGACCAGTGCAGTGGCGAGGTGCGACTCATACCGGCCGGCCGCTCCGCCGTCTGCGAAGGCGCGCCTGTGCCGTACACGGGGCGGACAGTGAAGTGCCCTGGTGGGAGGGCACGTGGCGCGTCTTGTAGGCAGTTCGACTAGCCCAGGCACTCGCACACATAAGGTGAGGCTCATGATTGACATGCGTGCTACAGCTAAACAATGATAGTCGCCTGAGAAAGCAGCATCGCCGAACTATCATCGAGCAATGACAATTGACAATG